CAGCCCACGTTTGCTAGTTTTGGCAAATACCTCAGGACTCAGGTAGTTTAGGTGTTGTGATAACCTCTCCCTCTCTGAGTTCTCGCCTCAGTTTTAGGCCTGAAAGTTCCTTATTATCTTGTTTGCTCTTTGATGCTTTTAGGACCATTTAGCCTGGGTGTCCAGCTGGCTCAGTCGGTAGACTGTGTGATTCTTGCTCTTGGGGCTGTAAGTTCAAGCCCCACGTTGGGTGTAGAGCTTACTTAGTTAAAAACATTAAAAAGAAAAACCCCAACTATTTAAACCATTTTGCCAAGCATTTTTAGTTAGCTGTAAATGAAACTATAGCCACTTTTCCCAGGTTGGAAATGACAGCTCAGAACAGGCCATCTTGGAGCAATGACAGGGGCCCACAGCCCTGAAGGAAGAGCTGGGTGTACCTGGAGGAAGCATTCCCACCCCCACCCCCCGGCCACACAAACACACACACAAAATAAAGACAGAAAAAAATGGGCAAGTAACTCCAGTGCCCAAAATGACCTCAAAGTCTTCTACGGATTTACACTAGAAGGGCTTCTATGGGCTAATCTGATGAAGAATGCCACAGTAGGAAAATGGGAAAGGACACAGGTGGGCAGTTCACACATTCACCTTCACTAGTAGTCCAAGGGGAACTGCCAACCCCTGTGGAGGGATGCAGGCACTCTCCTCCTGCTGCTGAAGCTGTAACGGAAGGCGATTTGGGCAATCTCACCAAAGAGCCACGGCAATGAGCATACCATACACCCCAGAAATTCCACTTCTATAAAAATCTCCCAAGACAATAGTTGTGTGAATGTTTCTGTATCAAAGTTTAGCTGCAGATGTTCGGAGCAAGATTTTCTGCAAATTATTGTAAAAATGAAAAATCACTCATACCCCAACCTTCCTTTTCTGGGATTATGTGAAATGTGGTGGGAAAAAAAAGAAAAGAAATGTGGTGAAAGCTCCTTCTCGGTCTCTTTGGTCTCAGGCCCGTGGAAAATGCTGCTAACATTCAGTGTACAATGTCATCAAGTCTTTTCTTTCTTTCTTTCTTTCTTTCTTTTTTTTAATTGACAGGCAGCGAGAGAGGGAACACAAGCAGGGGGAGTGGGAGAGGGAGAAGCAGGCTTCCCACCGAGCAGGGAGCCCAATGCGGGGCTCGATCCCAGGACCCTGGGATCATGACCTGAGCCGAAGGCAGTCGCTTAACCAACTGAGCCACCCAGCCACCCCTAACGTCATCAAGTCTTGTGACCATACCAGTGTGAATCTGCTCTACGCTCTACACACTGACCTGCAGCGTGATCTGATACGTGAATGTGTTGGCGGGCAGTGTTCCCTGTCTATGCTCAGAAGCTGACTTCATTCTCTGTAATGGCTACACACAGCGGTCCCTTGCAATACAGTTCAACTTCTTTCCCATTGGTCATTTTGTTGGTTGTGCACCATATTTTCTTATTTTTAAATATTTTTCAGTTCTAATAAATGTGCAAACATCACTGTACATACATCCTTATATATGTGTGCCACCATTTTCTGTAGGATAAATTCCCAGAAGCAATATTGCAGGCTTAGAGAATTTGCACTGGTTTGGTTTGGTTTTGTTTTAACTGGTTGCTTGGAGTTTTACACCCGTTGCAAGGCACACGGTTCCAGGGTGTCAGGAAGGCTTCCGTGAGGCTTGGGTAGTAAAGAGTGGGGTTCTCTGAACTTCCTTTTTGGTGTTTTGCTATTTTGATATAAAAGAATCCAACTGCTACTGCTTGCTGCAGCCTGCCTAGTCTATGGGGAGGGGACCTGGTGTGTGTGTGTGTGTTGGGCGGGGGGGGTCTGATGAGCTCAGCACCTCCTGAAGCCTGGTGGTGGCCATTCAAGATTGACCTGTGTTGGCTTTGCCAGGCTGCTTCCTCAAAGCTTCCAGAGCCAAGTCACAGGTGACCGTGCCGCTAGAGGCCTGGGGAGATTCCAAGCGCCGTGGGGACTCTGACACAATAGCCAGGACCGGGAGAGTGGACTTCCCAAAAAGGAAGCTTGCCCACCAGTGACCTGGGTTGGCCTTGGGGAGACCCTGGCGGTAAGGGATGGCTTCCCCAGGATACTCCGAACTTGCACAGGAGCTGTTACTGGAAGTGGAACCCAGGCGGTGCCAGTAATAGCTATGGGTAGCCACCAGCGAGCCGCTGAGGGGATGGCTGCCATGCTGTCGCTCGTGGGCTGGCGACCTCCCAAGGGCCTCGATGTGCAATCACAGGTGGCGGGAACCGGGACACTAGGTCATGGAGCCCATTTGTAGAGGAGACCGCTGGAGGCTGCTCCACAACCAAAGTGTGGCCGGGGTGCACTTTTTGGATTTAAAGGATATAGCCATTGATGAGTGAAGACTGCCCATATTAGCTCATGCTAAATTTTCAGGAATTCTGAGAGCGCCATATTAAAAATTAAACTAGGGGCGCCTGGGTGGCTCAGTCCGTTAAGCATCTGCCTTTGGCTCAGGTCATTGATCTCCGCATCCTGGGATCGATCCCCAAGTTGTGCTCCTTGCTCAGCAGGGAGCCTGCTTCTCCCTCTCCTTCTGCCGCTATCCCTGCTTCCCTGCTTGTGCTTTCTCTCTCTGACAAATAAATAAAATTTAAAAAATTAAAACTATTAATTTACAAATGAATAGGTTATGTTAAAAACAAAAGTAATACTGAAAACTCATTATTTTTAATTAAGTTACTACAACTTACTATTATCTATGTTCTTATTGTCTGTGTTCACCTCTATTGTATCTTGTATTTGGACAGTGGAAATACAACACAATGGCAGACACTATGCATCTCTTCCTAATTTTCCATTCAGTGATAGCATATTGATAACTTGAAATCAACCATGATGGCACCATGGAAACTGGCAAATGCTACAAATCAGCCCCCTTCCCCGTTTTCCAGAGTGCCAGTCATCAGACACTCACCAGCTCACCACTGTATACAACTGAATTACCTTCCCGAAAAGTCATTTTTTTTTTTTTTAGGTTTTATTTATTTGAGAGAGAGAGTGAGCACACAAGCAGGGATGGGGGCAGAGGGAAAAGGAGCAGCAGATACCCTGCTGAGCAGGGAACCCCATGCAGGGCTGGATCCCAGGACCCTGAGATCATGACCTGGGTACTTAACCCACTGAGCCACCCAAGAGTCCCCCAAAAGGTCATTCTAAGTTACACTTCCACCAGAAGTGTATTAGATCTTGCCTTTTTAATATTTTTTCATGCTAAGTGTCTTGTTAAAGAGCATTTTAACAAGCACGTCTTTGAGGACCATTGCAAAGGTCTCTTGGCCATCGGTACACTGTGAGTTGCCTATTAATTCTTTGGCTTTTTTTTTAACAGATCTTTTTTTTTTTAAGATTTTATTTATTTATTTGAGACAGAGAGAATGAGAGCATGAGAGGGAAGAGGGTCAGAGGGAGAAGCAGACTCCCCGCTGAGCAGGGAGCCCGATGCGGGACTCGATCCCAGGACTCCGGGATCATGACCTGAGCCGAAGGCAGTTGCTTAACCATCTGAACCACCCAGGTGCCCCAATTCTTTGGCTTATTTTTCTATTGGGTTGACTAGCTTAAAAAAAAAGGCAGGGAAGGAAAAAGGATGTGGAGGTCTGTCTTGTATAAGAGAGATAACCCTTCGACTGCCATCTGTGGCAGATATTTTTCTCCAATTCCTCTTTTTTTTAAAAAAAAATTTATTTATTTGACAGAGAGATAGAAAGTGTAAGTAGGCAGAGAGGCAGGCAGAGGGAGAGGAAGAAGCAGGCTCCCCACAGAGCGGGGAGCCCGATTTGGAACTCGATCCCAGGACCCTGGGATCATGACCTGAGCCGAACGCAGCCACTTAACTGACTGAGCCACCCAGGCGCCCTCCAATTCCCCTTTTAACTGTGCTGCTTTTCATGGTTTGTTTCCTCCCCATACCGAGGTTTTTTTCCTCTCTATATAGTCCAATGTGTCCACTTTTTCCAGTGTCACTTTGAGGATACCATTTAGAAAAGCATGAAATGTTCCTGGAAGGACCTGAAAGGCTACGCATTAAATGTTAGCTTGTTGCATGTCTTCGTGGGATTGCTACTGCCCGTGTGTGTGTGTGTGTGTGTGTGTGTGTGTGTCACACGCATGCTCTTAATCTGATCCCCATATCCTCCCCATTTGTTCAGTTTCCCCATGTGTCAACTGGGAGCTGAAGAAATAATGGAATATGCTGGACCCACTGGGATACAGAGGAAGGTGCAGTAAGTGGGGTATTTTCTGAAGTTTCTGCAATGACTGATTGATTCTGAGAGGAAAAATATAAAAACACGCTCTGACGTCTGTCTCCTTGGAAGTGTGGGATGCAGGCAGGGCTCCAGCCCGCCTCCCTGATGCACCTTGTCTGCTACACGGCTCCAACCATCCAACCAGGTCCAGGGTCTGGCGGAGGGGCTTTCACACCCGGCCTCCAGGCCCCTCCTTCCAGGGACCACCCCCCCGGCCCAACCCCTCCAGGGACCCCAGACCCCTCCAGGGCCCCCCCAGGCCAGTTCCTCCAGGGTCCCCCAGGTCCGCCCCTCCAGAGCCCCCAGGCCCCTCCCACCAGGGCCCCCCCCGAGGCCCCTCCCTCCAGGGCCTAGGTCTGCGCAGGTCCCGGGCCGCGCCGGCAGGGGGTGCCGCTCCCTCACTTTCGCCGAGGCTGGACCCTGCTCGCGGTTCTGGCCGGGTCCGGGGCCAGGCGGAGGGTCCCGACCCCGCGTGCCCGGATCTGGAAGAAGTACGGGGCTCGCCGGCCGAGGCACTACCAAGGGTCCCAAGCTCGCTTCAGGCGCCGGGGGTGGGGGCGACCTGATCCTCCCCTCGACCGCCCGGGGCGCCCAGAGGGCAGCCAGGGGCGCGCCCGGGTTTGACGACCGTGGGGTGCGACTCCGGCGTTTCTGAGACCCCCCACCCCGAAGACCCGCGCGCGCCCCCAGAGAGAACACGCGCGCGCCGGCTGAGGCTTTCTTGCGGGGACTTTACTCGAACTCTGGAACTCGCGGGAGGGGCGGCTGGGGGGTCCTGCGACGACCCCCTCCGAGTCTAGCCATAGCTGGAGGCCAGCGCCGAGATCACGTGGCTCAGAAACTTGTCCAGCGAGGCGTGCATGGCGGGGCCGAAGTCTCCGGGGTAGTGCCGGGCGAGGGTCACCAGCAGGCAGTGGCCCAGGAACTGCGGGGAGAGAGAGTGGTCCCGCCCGGAGCCACCTTTCTCCCACCCCCTTCCTCGGCGACAGCCGGTCCAGCGCCGGCCCGCGTGCTCACCTTGAAGTTGACGGGGTCCACACGCAGCTGGTGCGCGTGCAGGTCGCTCAGAGCCGACAGGGCGCCTGGCAGGTCATCCATGTGGGCCACAGCGGTGGTCAGCGCGTCGGCCACCTTCTTGCCGTGGGCCTTGACCTGGGCGGAGCCGGGGCTCAGGTCGAAGTGGGCGAAGTAGGTCTTGGTGGTGGGGAAGGCCGTGAAGGTCCTGCGGGCGGAAGGGCGAGTGAGGTGCGGTCCGGGGGAGGAAGCTTGGGGAGAAGGGGCACCCGGAGCGGCGGGGGGCGCTTCCTCGCGGCGGGCGCAAAGCCCGGGAGCCGGTGGGGCGCCGGGGCCTGTTGGCCCGCACCTCTCCAGGGCCTCGGTCGCGTAGATCCCAACATTATTCCCCAGCTTCCTCCACAGTGCGCGCACTGCCGCCCGGTCCGCGGCCGACAGCACCATCGCGGAGCCTGCGTCCAGCCGCGCGCGCCCCGCGCCCGGTCACTGCGCCTGCGCGACCGGTGGGTTCTCTGCCCCCCCACCACGCCCGCGGCCTCCAGGGGGCGCCGCGGCGCGTCCGCGCCGCACCTCTGCTGGTAGAGTCGAGTTCTGAGGGGTCCCGGAGCCTGGGACCTTCCCCATGGCCATGCACCGCGCGGCCCCACTTTTGTAGTGTTTACTATATGGAAAGTAATAATTTATTATTATTATCGTTCGTATTAGGGGACACTGAATTTTAGCGTGGATTTTGACATTGATCGTCAGCTTATTCTCCCTCCCTTCCTCCAGAGTCTATTATGGCACTCTCGGAGTCTATTTTCACATTTATTGTGTAAAAGGAACATAAAAATGTCCTCTTCCCAAAACTGTTGTGAGAATTAAGTGGGTAACAAATGTCAAGCGCCTGGCTCGTAGCAGATGTTCCTTTCAGGACAGTAAACATTTATTAAATGCCTTGGATGTATGTCAAAAGTAATACCTGATATCTATATGGGGCACTCACGCTGTGCCAGGCACGACTCTACGCATTAATAAAATGGGGGGTGGGTGGCTCGGTTGGTTACTCCACCGACTCAATCTCACCTCAAGTCTTGATCTCAGGGTCCTGAGGTCAAGCCCTGTGTTGGGCTCCATGCTGGCTGTGGAGCCTGCTTAAAAAAAAATTTTTTTTTGGTAAAATTAATATAACATAAAGTTACCATATTAGCCATTTTATTTTATTTTATTTTATTTTTGAGAGGGAGAGAGAGAGCGTGGAGGGGCAGAGAAGAGAGAGAGAATCTTAGGCTAGGTGTAGAGCCAGCCCAATGCCAGGCTCCATTTCACAAACTTGAGATCATGACCTGAGCTGAAATCAAGAGTCCGATAACTGGCCTGAGCCACGGCAGGCGCCCCGCCCATATAAGCCATTTTGAAGTGTACAATTCAGTGTCTTTAACCACCTTCACAATGTTGGGCGACCACCACTATCATCATCCCAAATGGAAACTTTGTCCCCATTAGCAGTCACTCCATAACCCTTCTCCTCCAGTCCCACCGGTTGGCTTAGCTGTCTCTGTGGATTCGCTTATTCTGGATATTTCACGTGAATGGAATCACACACTTCTCTGTCTGGCTTCTTTCATTTAGCACTGTTCCCGGGTTCCTTCACGCTGTGGGCTGTGTCAGCGAGCACTTCATAGCTCTTAATGGCTAAATAATATTCCACTGTATGGACAGACTGTGTTTTGTTTATCCATTCATCCCCTGATGGACATTTGGGTTGTTTCCACCTTTAGCCCAGGCCCTCATTTTTCCTAATAATAAAAGAAGGAAGACTGCCTCTTACTGAGAGCTCATACTGCGCCCCCAGCTGTGCTAAAACTGAGGCAGAGACCTGCCATCTCGTTTTCCAAGGATGACTCTTGGACCCTGAGAAGAAAAGACATTGCTGTTAGTTGGGGGCTCGGGGGCCTGGATGGCTGCCGGGACCAGATGCCTAAGGCGCTAGGGGTTTGCTCTGAGGGGAGGAAGCACGTGGGAGTGCTGACTCCCAGGACCTGGCTCTTCTCCGTTGCAGTGTGTGTGTGTGGGAGGGAGTGGGTGGGCCTCTGGGCTATGCAGTAAATGCTGAACTGGCCCCCAAAACCAGGCCTCCAGATCCACAATGCCCCAGGACGTCAGTATCTTCAGAGTGAGTGTCCTGGAAGTGACACCAGGAGAAAGAGGCGCCACCAGGAAATTGCCTGGCTTCTGCAACTGCACTGCTCACACCTATTCCGTCTAGACTGTGTGTGTACTTGGGAAGCACCTGATGGGTAGGGGGCATTTGGTGAGACTGGAGGAGCCTGACCTCCGGTCTTCCCCACGGCCCAACTTCGGGGAGAACTGTGGGAGAGCTCAGAAAAGTCCAGGCTGGAGACCCATCAACTCTCAGACCAAGTGTGTGTCATAAAATGTAAAGATGGAAACCCGGTTCATCATTTCAGCAAGTGGGAGCGGAATCTGCAAAGTTCTGAAATGAAACGCGGGACATGGAATGCACGCAAAGGGAGCACTCCAGGTGCGGATGCGGAATCCCGGGCAGTGGCAGCAGAACCCGCCCCACTCCCCTCCTCTGCCCTTTTCTTGCCTTCCCTCCCCTGGCCGCTGCGGACAGGCCCCTGGTGCCAAGCGAGGAGACCCCCGCCCCCTCGTTCGGGGGGGGGGGGCCGCGGCACGTTCGCAGACAAAGAGAACGGAGGCGTACAGAGGCTGCAGCCCACTCAGACTTTATTCAAAGATCGGGAAGTTGAGGTGCGCCGAGCGCAGGAGAGCCCCGGGCCGGGGACAGGGGGACCGCCGCGGCTTCAGCTTAACGGTATTTGGAGGTCAGCACGGTGCTCACGGCGCTGAAGAACTTGTCCAGGGAGGCGTGGACCGCAGGGGTGAATTCCGCGGGGTGGTGGCAGGCCAGGGTCACCAGCAGGCAGTGGCTCAGGAGCTGCGGAGAGAGGGGACGTCAGCGGCCACCCGCGCTCCACCTGCCGGAACCCGGGGGCCGTCCGCCCTGCTAGCAGGCCCCGCTGCGCCCTCCTGCCCCAGATCTCTCCGGGCCGGCCCGCGTGCTCACCTTGAAGTTGACGGGGTCCACACGCAGCTTGTACGCGTGCAGGTCGCTCAGAGTCGACAGGGCGCCTGGCAGGTCATCCAAGTGGGCCACAGCGGTGGTCAGCGCGTCGGCCACCTTCTTGCCGTGGGCCTTGACCTGGGCGGAGCCGGGGCTCAGGTCGAAGTGGGGGAAGTAGGTCTTGGTGGTGGGGAAGGACGTGAAGGTCCTGCGGGAGGAAGGGGTGGGCGAGCCGGGGTTAGGTGGGGCGGTGGACGACAAGGGCCGCGAGGGGTCCCCGAGCCCTGATCCCAACCGGGGAAGGTTGGGTCCTCACCTCTCCAGAGCCTCTCCGCCATACTCGCCAGCGTGGCCACCAAGCTTATCCCAGGTGGTCTTGACGTTGGTCTTGTCAGCGGGAGACAGCACCATGGTGGGTTCTTTCTGAGTCTATGTGAGGACCAGAAATGCGCCGGGCGGGGAGTGTGCGGAGCATTTATGCCTGGGGTGCGGAGGGGCACGCCCGCCTGGGCCGCGCTCATTGGCTGGCGAGGGGCCCGGCTGCGCGGCGGGGTTGACCGGCAGGGGGTGCCCGCGAGCTGCCAGAGCCTGCCTGGCTGGGGGGGTGCTTTGCTGCAGGCTTGGGGAGGGTCTGAGTGTCGGCCTCCCACCCGCTTCTTCACGCCCCTGCCTCCACCGCCCCTGGAAGTGATATCCCAGCCCCCCAGCTGTGGGGGGTCGGTTGAGGTGGGTCGATGCCCGCTCTTCCAACACTTGAGCTCAGTGACACCCTTCAGGGTCCCTGAGCACCCCTAGCCCCGGGCTGCGCTCTCCTGAGGATCGGAAGGGAGTAGTCAGTTTGTGCCACCTATCCTGATCTAGGCTTGGCACTCACGCCGCGTGTATTAATTTGAGCGGTGTCAGTGAAGGAACGTGCGGTTGGTCGTGGAAAGAAAGGCCTCGCCTAGTCCAGGGTGGAGAGAGATGTGCACCCAACGGGGTCCTCCCTCGCATGTAGCCAAGAATTCTCGCGGGGAATCCCTCCTGCTCTCCTCAGACTTGGTTCTTCTAACCCCCTTTCTTTACACAAATAATCACTGAGTGCAGTCACAGTCAGAACTGAGAAGGAACAAATACCAAGGGGCAGAATTGCAGGGCTGGGGTGGGGGGGTTCCAGGCTCAAGATCCTTCTTCCAGGGTGGTGGTCGCTGCAGCCTCAGATCTGGGACTCACAGAGGCGGCCCTCTCCTATTTTGGACCTTGTTTGAGCGACTGTCCCTCCACCCCCCCATCTTCCCATCCACCCCCCTTCCTGAGTCACAATGACACACTCAGTGCTGCAAATTGTTCCTGAGGAGACTCACTAGGCAAATAGTGGCTAAGTGGATGCACAAGGCCTGAGCTTTCAACCTGGTCGGGGACCGTCACCAAATCATCACACAAGCACACATAGAGTGGAAGAGCTTGTTAAAAGACCCAGGGAAGCCTGGAGGGAGTGGATGAGGCATTCACGGAGAATCAGGGTTAGTCTGAGGATCACAGTGGGCACCACCCTCTGTCCCCATTCCTCTCTGAGGACCCTCCCTCAAGACCTGCCCTGTGTGTCCAGGAGGAAGTAATGGTCAGACTGACTGGGACAGAGAAGAAAGAGGCTCCAGACAAGCCTCAGCACTTCTCCCTTCTGCGCTGCCTCCTTGTGTCTGTTCTTCTCATTTTGTTCACACGGGACCCTGCTCCCAGCTCATTCCACTTTCCCTTCCTACCCTCTACCCTTTTCCTGATTCTGTCACAGCCAAAGGCCCAATCCTGGCCTCCTAAAAAGGATAAGACACAGGGGGGACAATCCCCCTTCTGCATCTTGTTCTAATCCTCCTGACACTGAGTCCTTTTGAGGCAAGCCTTGGGGAACATATCTCAGCCAATGGCTTATGTTCCTAATATGGGAAGAGCTCCTATATATATATATATACACACACACACACATATGAAAAAACAAATGACTTACAGGAACAATCGACAAAGGTTATTAACAGGAAATTAACAGAAATATAGAAATGACCAATAACGAATGGGGGCCTGGGTGGTGCAGTCAGTTAGGCATCTGACTCTTGCTTTAGGCTCAGGTGATGATCTCAGGGTTGTGAGATCGAGCCCCATGTTGGGCTCCGTGCTGAGTGTGGAGCCTGCTTGAAGTTCTCTCTCCTTCTCCCTCTACCCCTCCCTCTGCTCGCACACACACTCTCTCTCTAAAATAAATAAATAAATGTGTGTGTGTGTGTGTGTGTGTGTGTTTTAATGACCAATAAATCTGTGAAATGAGAAAGAGCTGAATAAACTGCTGGAAGAGATGTAGTGGAGACAGCTCATTGAGAAGAGCAGGTTGCAGAAAAATACCTAGGGTGTGATGATATTTTTGACCAAAAAAAAA